AATAATACTCAATTGTGTATATATAATTGCTTTATCCATTTATCCATTAATGGACACTTAGGTTGCTTCTATATCTTGGCTATTTTAAATAATGTTGCAATGAACACAGTGGGGGAGGGGGAAAATAGCCTTTTGAATTAGTGGGGTTTTTTTTGGATTTGATGGGTCATATTGTTAGTTCTTTCTTACATTTTTTGAGGTGTCTCCAAACTGTTTTCCACAGTGGCTATGCCAATTTACATTCCCACCCATAGTGCATTAAGGTTCCCTTTTCTCTACAGCTTCACCAACACTTATTTCTTGTCTTCTTGATAACAGACTCTCTAACAGATGTGAGGTGATATCTCATTGTGGTTCTGATTTCCATTTCCTTGATGAATGATATAGAACATCTTTTCATGTACCTGTTGGCCTTCTTTGGAAAAGTGTCTATTGAGATCTTTTGCCCATTTTAAAATCACACAGTTTTTTTTTCCTATTGAGTCATATGAGACTTTATATATTTTGGATATTAACCCTTACCAGATGGTATGACTTAAAAATATTTTCTTCCACTCAGTCGGTTGGCTTATCTCTGTTAATGGTTTCCTTTGATGTGCATTAGCTTTTTATTTTTTTACTTTGATGTAGTCCCTGTTGTTTACTTTTACTTTTGTTGCTTTTGCTTTTCAGAAAAATCAGAAAAATCATTGTCAAGACTGATCTCAAAGAGCTTTCCGCTTGTATTCTTCTAGGAGTTTTATGATTCAGATCTTACATTCAAGTCTTTAATCCATTTTGAGTTGATTTTTGTGTATAGTGTTAGTGGTACAGTTTCATTCTTTTGCATGTGACTGTCCAATTTTCCCAGCCACAATGTCTTATAGTTTTCAGTATACAGGTCTTTCACTTCCTTAAATATATTTCTAGGCATTTTATTCTTTTCAGTGCAAATATAAATGGAATTGTTTTCTTAGTTTCTCTGATAGTTCATTATTAGTGTATAGAAATACAACAGATTTTTGTATTGATTTTGTATCCTGTAACATTCCTGAATTCATTTATTAGGTCTAAGTTTCCTGATGGAGTCTAGGGTTTTCTGTATGTATCATGTCATCTGCAAACAGTGACAGTTTTACTTCTTCCTTTTCAATTTGGATGCCTTTTACTTCTTTTTCTGCTAATTGCTCTGGATAGGACTTCCAGTACTACACTGAATAAAAATGGTAAAAGTGGGTATCCTTGTCTTGTTCTTGATCTTAAAAAGCGTTTATCTTTTCACATTGAGTATGATGTTAGCTGTGAACTTGTCATAATGGCTTTTATTATGTTGAGATATAGTCCAACCATAACCACTTTCTTGAGTTTTTTTAAAAATCATAAACAGATGTTGAATTTTGTGAAATGCCTTTTCTGCATGCTATTTTATGCTTTTATCCTTCACTCTGTTAATGTGGTGCATCACATTGACTGATTTGTGATGTTGAATTGACTGATTTGTGATATTGAACCATCCTTGCATTCTTGGAATAAATTCCAGTTGATCATGGTGTATGGTTCTTTTAATGTATTGTTGAACTCATTTTGTTAACATTTTGTTGAGGATTTTTGCATCTATGTTCACCAGTGATATTAGCCTATAATTTTCTTTTCTTGTGAAATCCTTGTCTGGTTTTGGTATTAGGATAATATTGCTGGCCTCATAAAATGAGGGAAAAATTTCCTCTTCTATTTTTGGAAGAACTGAGAAGGATTGGTATTAACTCTTCTGTGAGTTTACCAGTGAAGCCATCTGGTCCTGTTATTTTGTTTGCTGGGAGGTTTTTGACTACTGATTCGATCTCTTTACTCATCATCAGTCTGTTCAGGTTTTCTCTTTCATCATGATTCAATCTTGGTAGCTTGTGTATTTCTAGGAATTTATCCATATCCTCTAGGTTGTCCAATTCATTAGCGTATAATTGTTCATCAGTTTCTTATGGTCCTTTGTATTTCTATAGTATCAGTTGTAACATCTCTTCTTTCATTTCTGACTTAGGGTCTTCTGTTAATGAGTGTAGCTAAATGTTTGTCAATTTTGTTAATCTATTTCAAAGAACCAGCTCTTAGTTTCATTGTTCTATTCTGTTGTGTTTTAAATCTCTATTTCATTTATTTCTGCTCTCATCTTTATTTCCTTCCTTGTACTAACTTTGGGCTTTGTTTTTCTTTTCTAAGTCCTCAAGGTGTAAAGTTTATTTATTAGTGATTTTTTTTGTTTCTTTAAGTAGGCACTTACTGCTATGAACTCTCCCCTTGTTGCTGCATCTCATAAACTTTGGTATGTTCCATTTGCATTTTCATTTGTCTCATGTCATTTTTACAGTTCTCTTTTGATTTCTTCTCTGACACATGTTGTTTAATCTCCATATATTTGTGAATTGTCCAGTTTTCTTCACAGAATTTCTACTTTCATACCATTGCGTTTGGAAGAAGTACTCGATAGGATTTCAATCCTCTTACATTAATATTTCTTTTGTGGCCTAAGATATGATCTATCTTGGAAGATGCTCCATGTGCATTTGAGAAGAATGTGTATGCTGTTGCCTTTGGATAGACTGTTTTAAAAATCTGTTAAGTCCATTTGGTCTAATGTACCAATTAAAGTCAATGTTTCCTTATTAATTTTCTGTCTGAATGGTCTATCTATAGATGTAAGTGGGATAAAGTCCTCTATTATTATTATTATACTGCTTTTTCTCCCTTTAAGTCTTCCTATTTGCTTTATATATTTAGGTTCACTTATGTCAGGTACATAAATATTTACAAATAATTTATGGAATTGTTGGACTTCTTGTTGGACTGACTGCCTTTATCATTATGTTACACCCTTGTTATTACAGTCTATTTGATGTAAGTATAGCTATTCCAGCGTTCTTTCGGTTTCCTTGCATGTAATATCTTTAACAAACCCTTCACTTTCAATCTATGTGTCCTTAAATCTAAAGTGGATCTAAAGTGAGTCTCTTAAAGGCAGCATATACATGGGTCTTGTTTTTTATCCATTCAGCCATTGTATATTTTTTTGCTAGGAGAAGTTAGTCCATTTACATTTTAAGTAATTACTGATACATATGTGCTTATTGCCATCTTGTTCATTATTTTGGGGTTGTTTTTTGTAGTTCCTCTGTTCCTTTCTTCTCTTGCTCTCTTCCCTTGTGGTTTGATGACTTGCTTTTTTAGTGGTACGCTTGTATTTCTTTTCAGCTTTTGTGTATTTACTATAGGTTTTTGCTTTGTGGTTACCATGAGGTTTACATGTAACAGTGTATATCTGTAACAGTCTATTTTAACTTGTTTGACCTCATGTGTAAAGCTCAATATTATTACTCTCTCCATCCACATTTTATTTTTTTGATGACATTTTACATCTTTTTATGTTGTTTACCGCTTAACTAATTACTGTAATCAGTTACTTTTACTTTTTGTCTTTTAACCTTCCTACTAGCTTTATAAGTGATTAATCTATGATTTTTAATATATATTTACTTTACCAGTGAGATTTATTCTTTCATGCGTGTTCTAGTTACTAACTAGCACCCTTTGTTTTCAGCTTAAAGAAGTCCCTTTAATACTTTTTATAAGCTCAGTTTAGTGGTGATCTTTAGCTTTTGCTTATCTGGAAAACTTTTTATCTGGCCTTCAGTTCTGAGTAATAACTTGCCAGGTAGAGTATTTCTTGGCAGTTTTTTTTCTTTCAACACTTTGTATATATCATATCAATCCCATCTGGTCTGTAGAATTTCTACTTAAAAAATCTGCTGATAGTCTTATGGGGTTCCCTTAAATATAACAAATTGTTTTTTTTTTTTTTAAATTCCCTCATCTTTAACTTTTGATATTTTAATTATGCAATTTAAAACTACAGCTCCCGAGAGCAGAGGCATTCTCTTCAGTGATAAGCTAAGAACTGCTGTTTTACCATAAAGCAAACATTTGTCCATCTTTAGGAAGTTGAGATAATAGTAATGGTTTTATTACTCGTTCTTTCCTTGTTCTTCAATGTTACTTTCTTTTCAATGTGGATAATCATACACATCAAAATTAAAGAAAAGATTCATATGAAAGTCAAATGAATTTTCATGCAGGAACTTTTCATTAATAGCACACACTATGTAACAGGCACTCTGCTAGGGGCTTTATACTTTTTCTCAAGTACACATTACAACAATTCTAATAATCCTATGAGGTATGGTCCATTCTAAGTCCTTGAGACAACTGAGGCTCAGATATTCAAACCTAGGAAAGTTAAGATTCCATTCTTTTATTAAAGAAGTATTACTGAATATTTAATATACCAGGTGCTTTTCTAGATACTAGGAACATAGCAGTGGGGGGTGAAAAAAATTTTAGCCCAAAGAATTTATACTCAAACACATATTTTCTTTGTAACAAAAAAAATTCAAATTGTAAATTGTGTGTGTGTGTGTGTGTGCCTGGTGCTATATCAAAAGTAAAATGATAAACATTATGAACTTATTTCATTGAGAAAAAAATCTAACTTTAAAAGTAGAAGAAACATTCTAAATAAAGTAATTTTCTTGTAGTAAGTACAAATAGCTGGGATTTAAAAAAGTTTTGGCTGACTCCAAAGCCCTTGCTCTTTCTGTTAGTCCATAATGACTCTACATCACAGTACATTTCCAAGAGAGATGAACTTAAAAAATAGCAAAACAAAAAGTCCAAACACTACAGCTATCTGGAAATCTCTGAAATCTACTGAAGTTTCTAACAATAGATGAGAAATAGGGAATAAAACAAAATAAAGACAAACATGGTACTGGTCAAATTAATATTGGTTAACTAACTGCTTAAAAATTTTCACAGAATATACATTTAAATTTGAACAGAAATTTCTTATCAACTTGTACACAAGAAATATATTTGCTATATTAGGAATGTAAAGACAGTACTTTTCCTTTGTAAATATACATGTAAAATATTCAAGTCTCAAAACAAAACCAAAACAGAATTGTGTATACCTCTACAGCAGGTACAATGTCTATGCCAACAGTTAGAAATTCTTCAAACTTCAGAAATGGGTTAAAGCAGCTGCCAACATCAAGTAATCTGATCTTTCCTGAGGTCTGTAGCAACCTAAAAACAGATTATTTTATTTTATCAAAGGCAAACAAAATAGTGTAAGAAGAATTCAAACATTTGAGAATAAAACATCATATAGATTACTGGCTCTCTAACTTCTTGGTCTCAGGATCCCTTTATACATTTAAAAATGATGAAGGGCCCTGAAGAGCTTTCATTTATGAGGGTTATAGTTCTCAATACCATATTTGATGTTAAAAACCTAATAATCTTATGAAAGATTCATTTATAGAAAAATTAACTTATTGCATATGCTAATGTAAGTTATACTTTTTAAATGAAAAATCTAGATTAAAAAGGTAGTAAAACATGAGTGTTTCATATTTTTTCAAGTCTCTTTTATGTCCCAGCTTAACAGTAGACAGATGAATTCTCCTATTTGCTTTTGCATTCAAACTGTTGCAACATCATGTGCCATGTAGTCTCTGATAGTCTCCACTCCAAACTCATGAGAGAACTGGCAGTAAAAAAGGCAAATAACATCTCAATATTATTCTGGAAATAACCCCCTTCCCTGCAAGAGACTTTGCAGGGGTCTCAGACCCCCAAACCACACTTTGAAAACTGTCTTTGTACATGAAAGAATCCATTAGCAAATCAATTCACAGTATCAATCAATATAGCAATGTTTTTGGATTTGTCTCAATGACTTAAAAGGACCAAAGGGAAAAACATAAACAAACAGTATTAAGTTATGAATATTTTTATTGTGTGCATGAGCTTCATGTCCAAAAAGATGAGAGGAAAAAAAGGGTGAACAAAATCATAAACAACCATCTTATAAAGTCAGTCACATTCAACTCATATGGATTTATATACAACAAGAGTTAAGCCCCAAGCTTACAGTCCTAATCTGATGTTCAGACAATAAAGAAACAATAAAACTAAACTTCAGACATATGCCATTAATAAAGGGAAACCTGACATAGCAGCCAGAGGCCTGAAACTGGAGCTCTCTAGCCCACCACTCCTTGTCAATTGCAAACTTCACAGGAAGGAAGAGACAGACACCTTAAAAGTAGCATACTATTTTGGCTACTTTACTATGCAGTAGGAGGAAGGAAGAGTTTTTATCTCCTCTGGAAACAGCTCAGCCAATAGAGACTGTCACAACTCAAGCCACGAGCAGCAGCCATGACACATGGGTCTCCCAATTTCCTCTGACAGACTTTTTGCTTAAAACAGTCCTCCCAACTCCCCTTTTCTTCTATAAAAAAGCACTCCTTGAGGGGTATTATGATAAGTACACATGGTGTGGGGGGGGAACATGGGGAAGACAGTGTAGCACAGAGAGGACAAGTAGTGACTGTGGCATCTTATTTCACTGATGGACAGTGACTTCAATGGGGTAAGGGGGGGGGCTCTATACTATGGGTGAATGTAGCAACCACATTGTTTTTCATGTGAAACCTTCATAGAGTGTATATCAATGATAACTTTATAAAAAATAAAAACAAAACAAAACAAAGAGCACTCCTCTCCTTCCTTCTGTGGACCATAGCTTGCTGGTTCTGAATTGCAATTCTATGCTCTTCCTGAGTAAACATATTTTTGTTGGTAAAATAACTGACAGTTTTATTTTTAAGTTTAACATCATTTTCATTGATGTTAAGATAGTTTTCTTTAAAATACTGGAGTACACATTGTAAAAAATAAAGAAAATACAGAGAAATAATTGGGTAAAAACAGAATATTGGTTCTCTGAAGTTGAAAGGGCAGAAAGAACCTGTCCAGCTTCTCTCATTTATACCTTGGTTAATATTTTCTGTAGGGCCCATTAGGGAGAATAAACTACAGACAGTAGGTTAAGTTCCCAAAAGAGACACTGCACGTCAAAACAATGTGAAGTTGATTTTTTTCCCAGAAAAAGAATGAAATTAGTAGGGGTTATGTTTTTAATCAAGAGCTTGAGGTCTTAACATTTATATTTAGAAATATTTATTCTAAAGTCTTATGTTTTACATATGTCTCTTATAAGCAGCATAAATCGGATTTTTAAGTCCAGTCTGACAATCTGTCTTTTAACTATTTATATCATTTACTTTTAATGTGATTTACTGGCATAAGTTGATTTGTATCTAGTATCTTTGCACTTTATATCTGTTGTTTCTTTATTCCACTCCTATCCTTAGAATCACCCTGGGTGCTTTAAAATCAATAAGAAATCCTGATTTAATTGATGTAGGATGGAGTCTGGGCATTAGGATTTTTAGAAGTCCCCCAAGTGAATATATTATATAGCCAAACTTGAAAAGTGGTTTTAGAATTTTCCTTTTAAATTTTAAAAATTCCATGTTTTTTTCATATTGCTGATTTTAAAGTTCTATTTCTATTCCTTTAACAAAATGTTTACTCAACTACTGATTAATTTTAGCCATCTCCCAGACCAGACAAATGCTTGAGAACATATAAATTCTATTAATTATACGACTTATAATAAGCCTTTTTGTGTATTCTGTTTTATGAATTTTCATCTAGATTCACCAACAGAGTTACTAGTTTTTTTGGTTCTTATTCCTCCTTTTGCCTGAGATTTTCCCTCTGGGATCATTTTCCTTCTGCTTGAAATATATCTTTAGAATCTAGTAATGGTTTGTGCTCTCACATTCTTTCATCTCCTTCTGCAACTCCAATAAGAAGTTAGACTTTCTTACTTACCATGTCTTTAAACATTTAAATTTTTTTCTATATTGAATTTTGTCTATATGTGGCTAAATTCTGGATAATTTCATTTAATCTGTTTCGCTGTTAAATAATTTCCTCTTCAATTCATGCCATACACTGAGTTATTCTAATTATTTTAGTTTTCATCTCTAGAATTTAATCTTTTAATTTTTGCTTTTCAAATGGCTAGTAAGTCCTTAAAGTTTCTAGTTCCTGCAGAAATTTTCAAGCAATTCTTTTTTAAGAAAAAAGTTTATTTTATAAATTGTGACTTGTAATTCTAGTATCTGATGCTGTCTTCTGGCTTTATATCCTGGTCACTTATTTCCATACATGCTTAGTAATTATTTTTTACTCTATCAGTGAAATATAAAAACCATAGTTAAAATTTGCCTATTTGGACAGATGCTCTCAGGGCAAAAGCAGCTCTGTGCTCTCCTCTCAGTTTACCTGCCAGAATTTGCATTTTCGCCTTATCAGCTCTTTCACATTTCTAAAAACACTTATCTAACAATAAAAAAAAAAAAACTGCAAGAGATTTTTGAGAAATTTGAGAGATTTTTTTTAAGTTTATTTAAATAAGTAGAAGTACTGTTTCATTATTGTCCACTGATACAGAAGTACTATATTATGTGAATACATTAGGTGTGCTAAGGGCAAAATAGGCTCTAATCTATTAAAGAATTGGAAGTTTCTTCATCAAAAAAGGCTAGAGAGTCAAATTTGAGTGATCTTAACTGACGGCCTTTACTTATGTATTAACGTGCAATACATGTAACAGGAATTTAACTTTAGAGTCAATTCATTAAATTATTAAAAAAGTAGACACTACATCACAGTGCTACTTGTAATAACACAAAATAAGAGGAACTACCTGGATATACAGGTTCATTGCTCCTAAATGTTTTCAAATATTAGTTTCTCTGCAAGAGGTAACTGTGACTTTAATTAATGTACTTGCTGAATTCCCGTGAATATTTACATGATCCAAATTTTGAATGACCATGAATTCTGAAAAAAAGAATCTACCATCATACAACCAGGTGTACTTTATTCCTCTAGTCAGAGATTCTTAAATATTTTTGGACCATAAGCCCCTTCAGCAGTCTGGTCAAGTATATGGATTCCTTTTCAAACTAATGCTTTTAAATGAATTAACTGAATTACAAAGGAATATACTGAAATCATATACTGAAATCCAATTCTCAAAATATTATTTAAAAAGCTGGTATGGTAGCATATTCTTCTTTAATAACACATTAAATAATAAGGATCTAACAGCAAATCTAATAACTATAATTTCAAAGTAGTGATGAGAATAAGTAATCTGAGATATATACAATAACTAGGATGCCTAAATACCTGATTTTTGTAGGTGACAAAATCAGAGATAGGTTCATTTTACTTAGTTGAATGACTAAAATGACTTTGAGTTACCCAATTTTCTCATTTTCATCACTAAATTTTTTCTGCAAGAGAAAAACAATTCTTTCATATCAGTACTCTATGCAAAGCTATCCTAGTCTATCTCAGATTTACCCTTAACAAATTCTTACAGGATTAGTAATCACACAGTCCAAAGATGATTTTTATTGATAAAGACTAAATCCAGACACCAATATTTCTGTATTTGAAGCACCAATACTTAAAATTCAACAATTACTAAATTTATGCAAATTCTCATAGTATATATTGACTTGGTGGAAAAGCCCTTTGTATTTGTAAGTTAAATGGTGGTTAAATACCTGGAATTCAAAAATAAAGTAAGGAAAAATCATTTAACAAAAGAAATACTTAAATGGTATAATAGGATCTTGATTTTTTCCTAATGGTACCAACTGAACTATTCTTCCTCATTGTGGTTGAAGGATCTGGGAATTCTAGTATCTTGGCATTTAAACCATATTTCGGAGTACCTTTCACTCACAGAATACGAAACAAAAAAATATCTGTCAGGTCACGTGTTCTAATATTTGGTGTGTAAGTATGGGGCTATCAATCTGAAAACTCAAGTTCTAAATTCAGAAATAAGATTAGATTTTAGAAGGTAATTTTTAAAAGATTATATTAAATAGCTATAATCATATAGTTAAGACTGTTTAATCATAATCTTAAAAGTCATTAATTTGACATTATGTATCTAAGCAGAATTTCAAATTTTCTATGAAAAAATCCAAGTACCTTTAGCATCATTTAAAAATAAACAGCTTTAAAATCTATACATGTTGATTATCTGATAAATATTTATCAAATAATCTATTGTATCTGTCTACTTTTAAGAGCTTGAGCTATTAAAGAGAGTTCTGACATCCAAGGAATTCACCAGTAAA